ACCATTTGAAGCCGTTAAATATTATGAATTAATCAAGTAACAGAAAGTATTGTGAACGGCACTCATAGAAAGAATTTTTATGTTGTCTAGTGTGTTCTTCGATCCTACTGTGTACGTAAATTGTTGCTGTGATTGTTATTTGATATTTGCCTCGTTAATATAAATTTCTGTAACCTATGGTGCCATTTCAATGGGTTGAAATGAATTCTGTCCATATTCCATAGTCGTGGATTTCAAGCTGTACGATAGACATGGCCAATGAGACACCTTTTTTTGGGGGTGCCGAGTTGACCATGTATCTTAGTGCACTTGTATTCATGGCGAGGCGCAGACGCCGTCTGGAGGTGACAGGTTCAATTCCCGGCACGGTAACTATAGCTTTCGATTTTTATGTTGTCTAGTGTGTTCTTCGATCTTTCTACTTCTTTCTATGAGTACCGTTCACAATACTTTCTGTTACTTGATTAATTCATAATATTTAACGGCTTCAAATGGTTCCCCTCTCTGTTTATTTATAGGAATGACGTATACACACCGGAACCTACCAATCAAATACCTTTCTAAAAAATGTTTGTGTATTCTAGACAGGGCAATAAGGTCTACTGTGTACGTAAATTGTTGCTGTGATTGTTATTTGACATTTGCCTCGTTAATATAAATTTCTGTAACCTATGGTGCCATTTCAATGGGTTGAAATGAATTCTGTCCATATTCCATAGTCGTGGATTTCAAGCTGTACGATAGACATGGCCAATGAGACACCTTTTTTTGGGGGTGCCGAGTTGACCATGTATCTTAGTGCACTTGTATTCATGGCGAGGCGCAGACGCCGTCTGGAGGTGACAGGTTCAATTCCCGGCACGGTAACTATAGCTTTCGATTTTTATGTTGTCTAGTGTGTTCTTCGATCTTTCTACTTCTTTCTATGAGTGCCGTTCACAATACTTTCTGTTACTTGATTAATTCATAATATTTAACGGCTTCAAATGGTTCCCCTCTCTGTTTATTTATAGAAATTCAATTAGCTGGTATCCCAGGTAACAGACCCGACCGGTGGCCGCTGTGTGAACCTTTCACCTGCGCTGTGACCACTAGAAGAAACTAGAAGAAACTTTAACTCTTTGGACAATAAGATTACAACAGTCACCAAGTTCCGACACACCAGACCGATGTTCTCTGTAGCAAATTTGTCGGTAATGCTCACATCAATTGGCTTTTTTTCAAGACAGAGTTGGTTGTTACTCTGTCATCCATGTTATTTTAACACTTGCTCCAAAAACAACATCTCTGCTGCTTCCAGTCTCTTACTAATGTGGTCATCCGTTCAGTCTCCAAGATTTTTGTATTCACGAAAACTGTTTTCCTATTTCTTTTTCGAATGTAGTGTGTTTTTTGTCAATATTAGTTCATTTTTCTATTGTTTCTGCTCATCACTAATGTTTTCGCCATCATCATTTCAAGGTTGCCTAGCCCGAAGTCTAGTACTGAAAGTGTCTATGTGGCGCTGTGGTCAAGCTGTTTGCCTTGCGCTCTAAAAATTATGGGTTTGTTTCACGGATTGTGCTTTTCGGTTCACGAGTGCAAGTTTTATGGGGATCCATGGGTTCGTCACTGAAACTATAGAAGCTTTGCGTGAGATTTTTTATAGGCGGCTAGCCGTTCTGCCGAGTGAGACCAAGCCACACTGGGAAAAGAGGGAGGGGGATGGGGGAAGGGGGGTTGGACCTAGATGCAATTTAAGTTAGGAGGAACGACTTTAAACCTTTAACCCCGTTAAGTCTTCTGTCCACATCATTCTACTGTTCTGGTGTTTTCGGCTGCTACCTTCAGCTCAGTATTAGTCCTTGTTAGACTGTGTCTGCGTGTTGTTTGTCCTTACTGGGATACACAAAAGCTACAACGCCTTTCTAACAAGCCTGAAGTGTTTTGAAAAATGTGGTGTTATTTATTTGTATAGACCAGTCTCAGTTTTATTAGGCTAAAGCCCTGTATTCACAATGTGAATTTGAAAACAGAAGAGGTTAAAAAATTGAACAATGAAAGTGATAAAAATTGGTCCACTTGGATATAGATATATAGGATTGAAACAAGACGCACTGATGCTTTTCAACAACTTTGCAGTGCTTTGAAGCAGAAGATGATGGTTTCCTATCAAGAATTTTGACTAGAGATGACACTTTGGTTTACTGCCACGTGACGGAAGAGAAGAGAGCGAACAAGGAATCGAGCCACCCCCCCCCCAACCCTCTTAACGCAACTCCCCACCCCCCCCCAACCCTCTTAACTCTTTAATTCCCAAGGAACGCATCATACGTTCATAGGTTCCCGCCTAGAGGCCCAATGAACGCAGGATGCGCCGATTTTATATCTCTTTTGACTATCCCCTGGGCTCCTGATGCTAAACCCCCTGGGACTCAAAGAATTAACGCACCTACCCCCCCCCCCCCACCCCCTTTAAAAAAAAACCGAAACCAAAGAAGTTTTGCATCCAGCAATCTGCAGGAAAAGTTATGCTGACTCATTTGTCGTGAAGGAATAGTTATTTTAGAGCACTACAAGCCAATGAAGAAAAGTGTCTCCAGTAATACGTTTACAGGCCTTCCAAGTTTTCATCTTCCACTGCCGATGAAACCTAAACGACGTGGACTTCTGAGTGAAAGTATCCTTCTGCAATGTGACAATGCTTGACAATATACTGCCCATGCAACAGTTGAAACCATCGAAAAGCTCCACTTTCAGTTTGTGCACGGTCCCCGTACTCGCAAGACCTAGCCTCAATTAATTTACACCCGTTTGATCAACTCATAGAGTCATTGTGAGGATTTACTTTTCGGTCTGATGAAGAGGTACCGTTGGTCGTGGTGTGAGTGGTTACACACGCGACCAAGAGATTAATTTTTTTACAGAAGTACACACATCTTATTGGCCCTGGCGGACTTGCATTGAACGCAGTGTTTACATCGAAAAGTGGTAAATTTGGTGTGTATTTTTGCAGAATATATACACCACAATTATGTGTGCGCTCACACACACCCACACACATACACACATACCCACAGCTAAGGTTTTCATGTGAAGCCTACTTACTACTTATTCACAGTCGGTGTCTGCCATTGCTCCTTCTCTTAATTTGTTTACGATGTAGGCAAGAAATCTTTGTGGACTTTCTATTCTTTAATGCTATTAGTTCTGTATTTCGTACCATAAACTCTTTGCTGTGTGACATGGAAAGTATCAGAGAAGCAATCTTCCACAGAAGATATAATCAATCTTATGATTTTCCAAGGTATCAGAGAAGCAATCTTCCACAGAAGATATAATCAATCATATGATTTTCCAAGGTATCGGAGACGCAATCTTTTACATAAGGTATAATCAATCATATGATTTTTTAAGATATCAGAAAAGCAATTTTCATCAGAAGATATAATCAATCAAATGATTTCCCAATGTTTGAGCAGCAATATGTGCGCTATTAGCATGAAAGTTGTTATTTTAACAGATTAGATTCGAAACAAAATATTGTACCTACATATGTATTTGCTTCTCTCTTACCAGTCAAACGGTCTGGAAGATATTAACATTTTTTTTCCCTGTGCGTAGAAGGAAAACAGTTGAAAAACCCTGCTTCACAGCCCACTATAAAAAGATAAAAGAATACGTATTCCCTGGCTAGCTTTCCTAACTCAATCACTTTGCTGCTAAAGGCGTCATACATGTTTTGTGCCTGCCTTAGTTTTTGTCGGCCCTTTCTTTACGATCTTTGTATGCTTAAGAATTATACCTACATTAGTCACAAAGCAAGACCATTTCATAATTTCGCAAACTAATTTTTTAAAGGCAGTACTGGTAAACTACATGTCATCTACAATAGGAACACTGATGAGTGAGTGATGGAAACATGATGAAAAATGACAAAATACTGAAGGAGAAAACACCGTTTAGTGGCTACTTGTCGTGATACGAGTGATTCGAGGAATCGAAAAAACAATTAGACGCTAACAACATGGACTGAGGTGCAAGTGGAAGCAGAAACAGATTCAACCGACCATGGCTGAAGAGGAAGCAGAAGGGCGTGTAACCAACTGACCGAGTAAGGGGAAGGGAACGTGCACGTGTAGCCAACTGACCATAGCAGTGGAGGAAGTAGGGTGAAGTGCTGACCATGGCTGGATAGAAAGCATAAGGGCGTGTAACCAACTGACCGTGTACAGGGAAAGGAACGGGCACGTGTAGCCAACTGACCATAGAAGCGGAGGAAATAGAGTGAAGTGTAGCCAGCTGACCGTGGTGAAGGCTCAGACCAAGGAGTTTTCAATGAACACACGTTTACTGGAACACTTAGTACTGTTCATCCCTTTTGATAGGGACAGTGATGTGATATCCATCCTGGTTAAACATGTGTAGACACATGTAGACACTATTCTAGCAATTCGCGTTGTTGTATTCTAATGCATGCACGTCACTGTATAACATTATACTTATAGTTTCACAACTCTTGTTACACTTGACACAGTACGCTTAGGAAAGGCGAAAATAAGAAAAAAAAGTGTGGCAGGGTTATGGTCTTCGTGGCTAAGTGGTCAAGATGTTTGCTTTGAGCTCTGAAGATCGTGGGCTCGTGTAATGGCTGCGTCGTTTGACTTACGGACAATTGTTTTCTGAAATCAGTGGAGATATTCACTGAAGATTCCGAGTTCGTGCTGTATACGGCGCTTTCGACAGACGGCTAACTGTTCTGCTGAAAGAGACCGAGCCAATTGGAATAACATCAGGTGCAGTAATGTCGAGCCTCTCGAAAAAAAAAAAAAAGAAGAAGATAAGAAGAAGAAGACAATTTTGTGTTGTAGCAGAGAAAAGGCAGATAAAATCAGGAAAACACACTCAGACATTATGCTCACTAATATTTATTAGTCTACATAATTGTTAATCATTTTGCTAGTGTCACAAATCTAGCAGGGCGATGGTAGATATTAAAACAATAACATCTACGCATATTATCATATTAAAAATTTTTCAATTTCAATACTGCTTGCAAACACTCTAGCCGTGGTGTCCATGGCCACCGCCGTGTCCCCCATGTCCTCCTCCATGTCCTCCATGTCCGCCCCCATGTCCGCCCCCATGTCCTCCACCATGTCCGCCCCCATGTCCTCCACCATGTCCTCCACCATGTCCTCCATGACCACCACCATGACCACCGCCATGACCTCCGCCATGACCCCCGTGACCTCCGCCATGACCTCCGCCGTGACCCCCGTGTCCTCCTCCATGACCTCCGCCGTGACCTCCACCATGACCTCCACCATGACCTCCGCCATGACCCCCGTGTCCTCCGCCGTGACCCCCATGACCTCCTCCATGTCCTCCGCCGTGACCATGACCCATGACGCCAAACACCAGAAGGCCTAAAACAAAATAGATATACAATTTGTAATATGCAGTGTGTTTTAGAGCACAAATTGGAAGAAACAAAACATTTACAGCCCTACACTTAGATGATCTATACTGATATTCAGAGACAGTCAGATCCTTAGCATATATAAAACTAGACAGCAACGATAACACCGACCCTTAACTCTTTCTGGCCCGAGCAACACACCAAGTATACTCTGCTTTTGTCTATGTGTATCAAGGCAACACATGGTGTGCCATTTCATTCATGATTAGTTTTGGCATGCAAAGGAAATCTGGTCAAATATATTAAATGCAGCTCAGTATGTGCTGTATATTTAAAAAAGTCATACACTGATGCCTCTTTCACTGTGATTATGTTACCAAATTGGGTTTCTGTTTTGAAGCTATTTTGGCTGCAAGAGTTAAAGGACACGGTACTTCTGAATGTCTAATACAAGTAATTAAAAAGAATCCTTTCAAATCATCCGTGTATCCGGTGTGTGGTGCAAGATCCACACATTATCAAAATGTTGAATGTTAAAAAAGGAATCGAAATCGCAACACTCTAGACACTCAGATAAGCCACCCTCATCTTTATCAGCAAGCGAAGAGTTCCAGTTCCGATGGTACTAGAAACTATTTGATCGTTCTTCCGTCTCACCTTTCCCTTGAGTGTTGAGCTTCAGCCAGGTCCCCTGGTAACTCAAAGCAGCGTTACTTTCCTCAAGACGTAGATTATTAGACCAATGGAACTCGATCGGTGATTTAGTCAACGTGAAGCTGGTCCCTTTTACTCCCCAGGACATTTCCCGTTACTAATTTAGATTTATGTTACCAAGAGCCGAGGTCAATTTTAGGATATCGGCAGCTATGCTTCTTTTCTTATTCTTTGTGTTCACCTGCTGTAAACTCCGGCAGAAAGATTTGGTTCTTCGTCCACTTCTAGAATTTATTCTTGTTCCCGAGTTCCTTTTCTTGAGTTGTGCGTGTACATCCATTTTACAGGTGTGGCTAATTATGTACCCAGACTGTTGGTTCTTTGCCTCTCGGGCAGAGGCACTCCGACTTCGAATGAAACCCATAATTACTCGACTCTTACGACATGCTTGTCAGGTATTCGTGTTAACCATATACAGTGGAGCCCCGAAATCCGCACAGTAGGAACATGATCTGTTTCGAATCTAATACCATATGACCTGTATGTAAACGTTTAGCTATTGGGCCCTATATATTATGTAATCTAGTGAATACTTATATCTACCAATGAATTTACAGCACCCCTAATTTTCAAATGCCTTGGTTAGTTTCGATGCAGACAGAGGAGCCGGTGCAAACAGAACTGTTCTGGGGTCGACCTGGCATCACACAGTTTGATTCCATATAATTTATAATCTTCTTGGAAATGCTTGTTAATGATAGAAGATTATTGCGTGCTAATTCATTTGAATGTGCAAGTATGCCAGCGGTTAAAAAAGTGTGAATGACTTTGAAACCTGTCAGTGTATCTACTTGGCAGAAATTAGAAACATACAGTGTTCATTCATTAACCACCAATTCTTCATCGTTAAGTGTTCGTCCGTTAGTAAAAGAGACTGACTGCACTGATAGAGCATGCTTCGAGTTATGTCTTATAATGCTATTAGGCAGTGTTAGTGGTTACGATACAGCTTGCTAATTGCGGTGTTTCTTATCAAAATGGAACAAATCAGCCAGCTGCTAGAGAGCACTAAAAGAGATCAGCAGGCCACACGGAAAAAGGCCGACCAAAAATAAACTGACGGGGGAGGTAAAGAGACACTACAGAAACGAATTAAGACATTGCCACATGTTACGCATCTAGCAAACTGACAGAGAACTACATGTAACGCCTCTGTGCGACGCTTTACGGCCCAACAGGTATAACAAAAGAAGAATGGAAAGTACTGCTTCTTCTGTCGTTGGACTCTTTGCTCTCAGATAGGAACCCAACAGTCGTTTTCGTCTGAAAAAAATTGTGTGTATGATTGAATTTTGATTCTACCCTGGATAATATCGCCAGGCATACAGCCCCCCCCCCCCTCCCCCCACCCTTTTCCCCCCTTTTTCCGTATCGAATACTACATTGATGGAGAAGGTAAGAAACCCTCTCACTTCATACACAGAACGTGTGGAAACATAATACTGTTCACCTGGACGGCAGAATCGGATATGGAGCGACATTTAGTTGCACGTTTTGTCATCTTTGGCTGTAAAATATCCTAAATAGGAGATAGTTTAGTAGTTTGAGGAATTTTGACAGTGACAGAATTTTGTACTTAGGTTCAATGAACAAAGCATAATGACTGAATTCCGTACATAACACGTGATCAGGTTAAAACAAAGTACTTACCGATGCAAATTGCAAGAAGGAATGTAGTCTTCATTCTAGCAGACCCGAGATACTACCTCGTCAACAACTGGCAGCAGGCAAGGAACAGCAGCTGAACAACCACAGTTCGGGTGTTTGAGCAGAATAAAACACCTGCAAAAGTTGTCCTTTTTTATAGCCAGTCTGAAGTATCCGTTAACGAGGGGCAACCACAAAAACAATCAAAATATTTGTGAAAACATGTAAATGAAACATCTGGCTGACTTCTCTAAAAACAGGTGTAAGTAAACTACTAGGTACATTGTTGCATGCCAGTGGTATATATTTGAAATGGAATGTGAATGACTTGAGACGCATTAAGAAGGTTGGTAGTTGATAGGAACGTTGCTTCTTTCAGATTCACTGTTAATTGTGGGAAACAGGAAAAATAGGAGGGGAGGGAAGAGGGTGTGGGGGGGGGGGGGGGGGGGTCACACATTGCTAGACTCGTAATCTAGTTTTTACGATCATTATACTAGCAGAAAGAAAGTTCTAGACTCGTAATCCTAGTTTTTACGATCAATATACTAGTAGAAAGAAAGTTGCTAGACTCGTAATCCTAGTTTTTACGATCAATATACTAGTAGAAAGAAAGTTGCTAGACTCGTAATCCTAGTTTTACGATCATTATACAAACAGAAGGAAAGTTGCTAGCCTCATATTTCTCGTTTTTACGATCATTATACTAGAAGAAATAAATTTTCTAGACTCGTAATCCTACGATTACTGAAGATTATGAGATCACAGAGCAATCAGAACTAACAGGATTTAAAAAAAAGGAACTAAAAGAAGAAATGATTAACTCTGTCAGTACCAGGAGACTCACCATCCGTTTTTTGGCTACTCTTTATAACAACTTTACACATTTCTTATTCCCCCCCCCCCCAACCCCTTTAATTTGTTTTTAGGTATGTTGATCAGTTATATCCCAATAATTATAATATATTCGCCTTTCATGGAACTGTCATTTATATTTCCGTAACACTGAAACAAAACAAAAACACGAGTTGCTCTGAGGTACATACACTTTAGGATAAACGGTGAAATAACAATCAACCGCAAAAAAAAGAGTTATAGAATAAAAAGGGAATAACTCTATTATTACTAAACGGCTGTTAAATGGACTCCTGGTACCCCAAACTGGAGCTTAAAAGCAAAGACATTTTTATTTTTTTAGGGAAGAATCTCAACACGGACAGAAGGGGGCCGTGGTAGTTAAATTAATAGCTCAGATACAGACAGTTCATGTGATATCTGTCTGTGTTAGAAGACCATAAGCACATTTTCTTTTATTTGGAAACACAAAGAAACGCATAGTGAGTTAATTGGTACGGAAAGAGTTGAAGTATAAAATACGCGTGAGAACAAGAATAGGAAAACACGGAATTATCTGCTGTATATAAATAACACCAGTAGCGTCTGTGGCTTAGGCGTTGCGAGTCCGACTCGTAATCCATCGTACCGCGATCGAAACCCACTGCTGGCTGCGTGGATTTTTTATCAAGGTACGAGACGTCGCAGGTCGACCCAGCCTAAAATGGGTACCAGGATGGGCTGTCCTGGAAAAATAAACAGTCGGTGTAATGCTGACCACATTACCCACAGAGTGCTGATGGTCTGTAAAAGTATGGGCGCTCTTCCCATATGCCCGATACGCCTAAAGGCGTGGAAAGGGATCTTTACTTTACTTTACTATAAAACATCAGTGTTGATAATTTCCCCGTGTGGGTGTGGGTTTAGAAGCTCTTATGTAGAGAACATTAAATAGACCCCCTGGCCTACAACTGTCATGTCGCAGGGGGCGACTTTTTAGGGGTTCTTTTCTGTAAAGTCGGAATTCGTCTGCCTGGGAGGAAAGGGACCATTATTATGCATACAAATAAGTCAGATCTGTACAACGGATATGCACGCAAAAAAAAAAAAGTACTTGATCAAGACAAATAGTCCAGGAGTGGAAGAACAACCAGAACTGTCAACTGGAGTTTACAACCAGTGAACGAAAAGAAGAAGAAGAAGAAGAAGAAGAAGAAGAAGAAGAAGAAGAAGAAAAATTTTGATAATATGGAGAATATAACTGATGTACCAGATTACATAGTAATTTGATATTTCAGAAACTCTTCATCTCTTGGAAAGCTGCACTAAGAGATAATGAATTATTGAGCAATTTTTTAATGCGAATCTAAAAGTGGCAAATCCCTGAAATTTGACCCAACTGTATGAATTTAATAATGTTGGGGGATTCTCGGTTTGCGAGCTGTTCTGTCAGAAAAAAGTTTCGTTATAGTGCATGAATACGTCTTATTAGAAAAAAAACAAAAACTTATGACAGAGAAACTTCATGTCCATCTGAATAATTATCCCCAGTGACAAAAAAGTGTGTTCTTTTCGCGTAAACAGATATGGTGCTATTGCAGCAGTTTGTGTTTGTTTAACCTAAATCACAACTCGGAACTTTCGTTCAGAAAGAGTTATTTAAGACATCGTGACATTTTCAAGTGTGCCACGCATAACAGACATAACTTCCGCAAGTGTATAGAGCTGCTTCGTCATGCAAAAGACACTAGTAGGTTCTGTGATTTTAGTATTTAAACCCGAGGT